CGCAGAAGTGAGCCAGACAAAGTGCAGCTCTTTCACAGAGTGAGGTGGGAAGATGTACGACAAAAACGTTACGCGTTACATTAGGCGCAGCGAAGATCTCACGCAGCACATTAGGACGCATTTCCCCGTAGTCTTACAAAAAATCTTCAGTGGTTACCAGAATAATTAAAAATGAAATAAAAATTCATTCGTGTAAAATTAACATTATAAGACTTGTCGCCGTTCAAGGCAGTTTGTATCTAGCACAAGTGGAATGCAACCGGATCTAGGACAACTCGCCCCAGTCTAACTTGCCCCGGTATAAAGTCGCCCAATGACTATTTCGCCCCGTACCCATGTCGCCCCAACGCTAAGTCGCCCCAGTTGAAATCAGTTTTTTAGAAGGAATGTGAACTTCTATCATGCTTCTATTTAATTACATTAAAAGAATCCGGACAAGTTGTGGCCGATGGCGATGGCCCATCCAGAAAAAGGTTCGGTTGATTCGGTGGAAAGAAAATATTATAAAATGTGTCTCTTGACTCGACTGAATTTTATTGGTTCAAGGGAAAATATCTCATAAGGTAATGGAAAATTGCTTAAATTTGCAGAAAAATTATATCGTATTATTTTCCATTTGTTAAATTTTGTGCGGTTTGAACTTCTATTTGTGCCAGAGAGGACTTCAGCTTTGAAGGAGAGGGGCGCTTAACAATGATCAGCAATATTGAAATGGAATAAAAATTGGTCAAAAATATTTGACAGGGGCGAGATGGCACAAGTCTGCGACTCGCCCCAACCCCAAAATCGGGGCGAGTTAGCCTTGGGGCGACTTGTACCATGGGGCGACATAGATGGGGTGAGTTGTCCGTCTCCCATGCAACCAGTTTCTTTGATCAGGGGCATTCCTGGCTTTGTAGAGCGGGTCAGCCCAGCCTCCATCTGGAGGGGCAGAGCCGTGGGGACCTGGTGTGCGTACCGGCCTTCACCTTTCCGCGTGGAAGCGGAGCGGTGGACGCTGCCGCCGCCGCGGCTGCTGACCGGCGCGCGAAAGGCAAGAAAAAACCAAATTGACACACTCGGGGTCTCTCCTTGGGCGGGCTTGGGAGCGTGGGCAATGCCAACGCCACCGAGTTGTGTCTAACAGGAGCCCACTGTGTGTCTGATGACTATGCACTGCAAGGGGAGAGAGAGAGAGAGGGGGGGAGAGAGAGAGAGAGAGAGAGAGAGAGAGAGAGAGAGAGAGAGAGAGAGAGCAAAAAAAATCCAAGCGACTTGCACATCTCGAGCACAAAGCGCCGCACAGAAGAGCGCGCGCCGTCCCATCAGCTGTCTTCCTTCCAGTAATAATAGCCGCGTGTATGCCGTGTCGCGTCGTCCACCAAACTAACTGCGTTCCATTCCATAAACACCCGTAACAAACCGTTAAAGAAAGTTACAAAAGAAATTTACTCGCAAAAAAAAAGTTACAAGAAAATAGTCACCGCAGAAAAGTTACCAAAAGAAGTTACAAAAAAGGTACAAAAAATTTCTTCTTCAAGAATACAGTTTTTAAAATAAATATCAAGGCAGGATTATTTTTTGCAGGGTACGGTTCGGAGGGCGAAATGTGTTTACGATTGGATGCGCGGTGTGCGGTGAATTAGGGGCAGGGGCTGCCGTTGCGGGCGAGCAGTCATCATAACCAACCCCTCCACCTCATCCCTACTCCTCCCTCC